ACATCCATGTTGTAAGCAAGAAGGCCTTCGGCCAGGCCTATTTTCATCTCCTCGGTGCCCATCAGAGAGCGAGCCGCCACACAGGCACTCACCAAAGTCTTCAGTATCCCGCCCGTGCGCTCGCAAAGGCCGTTCTGCCAGGGGGCGCCGACGGCAATGTGGTACAAGTGCATGTTCACCCCGCTGGCGAAGTCCTCCAGCTCGTGGCTAATGAACTCCCTTCCTTGGTCGCATACCAAGGTACGAGGCACTCCGAAAACAGGAGCCCAGCGCTCACGAATGAAGTTCACAACCTCTTCGCTGGCCTTCCGCTCCACGAGAACTGCCATCTGAAATCTCGTGGCCGCGTCCACTGCATGCAAAACAGAGAACCTGGTCCCAACACCATCGAACACATCGAAAATGTCAATGCCAACTTGGTCGCCAATTTCTCGGGGTCCCGGAAGCGAAGCTGGCCGCTGCACCTTAGGAGGGCGGCGCTCGTCACATAGTGAGCATTTCAGCTGCTTGGCTGCGAGAATCGCTTCCGGAGGGGCACCTGCAATCACCAGAGCCCGGGCCAACCTCAATGGGCTTCGGTGGCCCGTGTTCTCATGTAGCCTTCGAACGGCTTGGCGCACCGCCACCGGAATTGCCTTCACGGTCCGTTCCTCCTCCGTGGCCAGGCCCGGCTCATCCACATCCGACTCGTCCTCCTCAAAGTCAAGGAGGGAGCCGTCACCATCAAACGTCTCTGCCGCCAAGCCCTCATGCACATTCCCGGCCTGGTGGTCCTCATCGAATTGTTTCTCTATGCCCTGCAAGGTCAAGGCCGCCAGGTCCTCAAGAGCTGCATCCTTGCCTGCACGAAGCGCCGTCACAAAGGAGGGGCTAGAAGTCACATAGCGCCGGCCGTTCATCACGAAGTCGGCCTCGCCAAGCTCCTCAAGGAGCTCCTTGCCCTCAGGGGTCCGGTCGGGGCGAGCGCCACGGCCGAACTCGATCAAAAAATGCCGGCCAGACCGCCGCTGTGCCATGGCCGCTTGTAGCACTGCCGCCTCGGACTCTAAATTTTTCTTTTCAGCGTCGAGTCTGGCCTGCTTGCCGGAGAAGTTCAGAAGCGGCGAGGGCCCAGCCAAACGAAAACACATGAAGAAAGGTCGCCTGGCGGGGCTGTCCAGCGAGGCCGTTGTCACCTGATGCCCGCGATGGCGAGCAGCTGCCACCAGAGTGTGCCCAAGCGACGGTCGCGAAGGGTAGGGCCAATTGCCACCCAAACCAATGAACGGCTCGGTCAGGGCAGCGTCGTAGTCCTGGGCAGCCACGGTCTCAAAGGCTTCGCAAACGTCCTGGGCCGTGGCGTTCAGCAGCTTACGGTCGCGGCTGTACTTGCCCCAGGCCTGTCCAATCGCAAGCCGCTGTCCGGGCTTGAGCTGCTGCCGCAAAGGCGGTATTACAGGTCTGTCTCTAGGTCGACCGCCGTGAAGCCCATGTTGCTGTCCGGCGACAGGGCTTCGTCCCCATGGCGGTGCACCCCTTGGTTGGCCAGTGCCATCATATGCTGCATCGTTTGAGCCAGCATGGCCTGCATCCGGTTGTCCCGCTGCTCCATCATCGCCTCCACCTCGCGAAGCACCGTGTTGCGGTCGAGGTCGGCAGCCGGCATCGGCCCGGCCGTTAGTAGTGGAGGTTGTCCTTGATCGTCCTGTCGTCGGTCTCCCGGTGGTGCAGGTAGAGGGTCGGTCCTTGCCGCGGGGGCCGACGAGGAGGCTGTCGCCGAGGTCGTGGTTTCCTCCGCCGGTGTCCCCCGGAGTGCGTTTACCATGGGCCGCAGTCGCTGCTTGATCTTGTCGACGGTCTCGGTCGAGCCGACCTCCACATTTAAGAGCACAGCCAACCGAAGGAGGTCGCCCTTGAGGGTAGGAAGCCCGCCACGAGGTCCCAACAGCCGTCTGGCTGCCTTCAAGGCTTCTCCCTTTTCGTGCTTCTCGGCTGCCTCGCGCTTCAGCTTGTCCACCAGCTGGTTTTGTATGGCGGCCCTTGTGCCACGGGTCGCCTTTGCCGCCATCATCCCGTCCAGCATGGGGTCCTCCAAGAAAGCTAAGCGAAGTCCCAAGCGGTCGCGTAGATAAGCTCCATCCTTCAGCAGCTCCAGGTTGTCGAAAAGGTTGTCCAGGAGCGCCCGCCTGTAGTGCCGCCTGGGTAAGGCACCGTTCTTCACCATGCTTTCGGCCTGCTCCTTCCACTGCGCAGGGGACCGCACGCTGCCGTAGGGTAGCGGGACATAACGAAGAGAGGGCCGCTGCAGCAACCAAAGCAGAAGCCCACCGAAGTGCTTCCGAGAAGTCGTAGGCATAGGCGTCGGTAACGATCGGCCACCCGCCCGGTACGGTGAAGATCGAGGGGCATCGGCAACAACGGGCTTTATGACTCTAGTCTTTCCCGCGGGTCGCGGCTTCATGCTCGAGGTCACCGTGTTGCAGTCATTGGTCTGTGTCGCTTCAAGTGTCAGGGCTTGGGGCTCCGCATCAAACGGTTTAAGGGCGGCAGCTCTGCGACGACACCACTCAAAGTTAGAGACCTGAACCTCAATCACTCCATCCACGCCTTGTCGCTTCCAGCGCTTCTCCGAGACTTCCAGGCAGAACGCCGGAAACATGTCGAGGTAAAGGT